CTTGTTTATGGCTTCTCATGAAGAAAACACAGCCAACAAATCCTCATGGTTCATAGATAGTGGATGTACGAGTCATATGTCACACAATGAGCTCTTGTTTCACACACTTGACAAGTCATTCAAAGCTAAAGTTAGGATGGGAAATGGTGAAATGGTTGATGCACATGGAAAGGGTTCAGTTTCCTTTCAGACTACACAAGGTACAAAGTTTATACACGATGTGTTGTATGTTCTTTCTTTAGCATGTAACTTGTTAAGTGTGGCTCAAATGATGTCTAAAGGCTATTCCTTATTTTTTAAGGACAAACATTGTTTGATTTTTGACTCCTAAGATAGTTTGATTATTAAAGTAGAAATGGTGGATACAACTTTTCCTTTAGATGGGAGGTTTAATAGTGCAAATTTTGCACGTAAGGATGAGTCATGGTTGTGGCACAAAATATATGGTCATTTTAACTATGCTACTTTAAAGTTTATGTATGAAAAGGGCTTGACTAAAGATTTACCTGAGAGTTCACTATCTAAAGAAGTTTGTGAGTCATGTCAGATGGGTAAGGTACACAGGAAATCATTTCCTAAAAATACTACCTGGAGGGCAACTGAAAAACTTGAACTAGTTCACACTGATGTGTGTGGACCTATGCAGGCATCATCTTTGGGACACAATAAATATTTTGTGCTCTTTATTGATGACTTAACAAGGATGACTTGGGTGTATTTTCTGAGTAACAAGTCTCAAGTATTTTCAGTTTTCAAGAAATTTAGAGCTTTTGCAGAAAGGCAAAGTGGTTGTAAGCTAAAGGCTTTGAGGTCGGACAATGGTGGTGAATACACTTCAAATGAGTTCAATAAGTATTGTGAAGATATGGGGATTGATCACAAGTTGGCAGTAAGTTATTCACCCGAACAAAATGGAGTCTCGGAGAGGAAGAATAGAACAGTAGTTGAAATGGCTAGATGTTTGTTGCTGGAAAAGAGACTGCCACAAAGCTTTTGGGCAGAAGCTATTCATACTTCAGTGTATTTGTTAAATAGGCTGCCAACAAAAGTTGTGGATGAAAAGACTCCTATTGAGGCATGGAATGGAATACAGCCATTTGCCAAGCATCTAAAAGATTTTCGTTCGATATGCTATTCTCATGTTCCTTCTGTTAAAAGAAGAAAGCTTGAACCAAAAGGTGAATTGGGGATCTTTATTGGTTATTCAGCACAAGCCAAGGGTTATAGAGTTTTCAACTTGCAAACAAAAAGTATTTCAATCCGAAGAGATGTAGTCGTGGATGAGCATGCCTATTGGAACTGGGATAAGGAGCAAATTGAGAAAGATAATGCAGTTTTTCAGAACTTGAGTCCGCTGCCTGAAATCCAATCATTTGGGTCTGAAACTCTGGAAGAAGACGAAGAATCAGACGGAGAATCCTCACTTGATTCACCAATTTGGAAGACAAGGTCTCTTTTCGAGATATATGAAAGATGTAATGTTGCAATCTCAGAACCAAATAGCTATCAAGAAACATCAAAACATGAAGTTTGGATTGAAGCTATGAAGGAGGAAATTGGTATGATAGAAAAGAATGATACTTGGAAGTTGGTTGATAAACCCAAAAACATAAATGTGATTGGGGTGAAGTGGGTTTATAGGACCAAACTTAATATAGATAGCTCAGTTTATAAGTACAAAGCAAGGCTTGTTGTGAAAGGTTACACGCAAGTTGCAGGTCTGGATTATGGAGACACGTTTGCACCTGTTACACGACATGATACAATAAGGCTGCTATTTGCTTTGGAAGCTCTGTAACATCCGACAATTTAATAGGAAGATGAAGAAGCTTGAAATTTGAAATAGTCATTTTTGGAAAAAATATGATGTTTCAAAATTTGGAAAATTTGGCTAAGTATGGAAATCAGTGATTTTTGGCCAACTTTGAGCAGTCATAACTTCCAGCACAGGATGATTTAGGAGTAGTTCCGGTTATGGTTGTGAATCTTGTGGAATGATCTTTCCAACGCCGTCGAGTTTGCTCAATTCCGAGTTCGTATGAGCGAGTTATGGCC